TACATAGTACATACAATAGACCTTATATACACAGTAGAATAGGGGTAGATAAGGGCGCGGGTATCCGTCGGGGGGCGGGACCTGTGGCGCTCGTTCCGCGAGCTCGCCATCTTGACGCCAGGATTCCAACACATCCCCTCGAGCGAGCGCGGGCAACGAGCGAAGGATAACAAACAAATGGAACGGGGCGGGGATAAGGGAAACAGCGAGCAAGGAAGGAGGGGTTGTGTCCGCACAAATAAGGGATAACGTACGATAAGTCTAATACATCCCCTTAATCGGGGCATTTACCACGCTTCCGTCTCCTTCTCGGCAAGAAGCTGATCGGCGCTAACGGTTGCCGAAAACGCGTAATGGGCCTCTTCAGTCTTAAGCTCGGGGCAGTCACGCTGATAGTGGCCCTTCTTCGAGCACTTGAAGCAGGTGATGCGCTCGAGCGGGGTGCGAGGCTTCGTGTAAGCAGCAAGGGCGACTTCGGAGTCATGATGAGGCGGGTTGAGGGACAATTGGCGCGACTCTTCGTTAAGTAAGCGGGTGATGACGTAATCGATGGTAAGCTCGCTAGGCGGGGTAGAGTCGAGATTGACGACCAGCTGAGAGTACGAATCGGGGAGGCCATTCGTGAGAACGAGGATGCGGTCTTCATCGGAGATAGAGGCGTCAATCTCCTCGAGGCGGAAGGCGGCCCGGCGGACGTCAGCGATCCACGATGTCATCGTTTGATCCGGGCGCTTAGACAAGCGCCAGAAAGCGCGCCGGTGTGCGACCCGGGTACCAAAGCCGCGGGCGCGGTGGACTCGACGGAGCTCGGTCCAGACTTCGTGAACGTCTTGTGATTGGATGTGGGCGTACTGGGTGGGCTCGATATTCAAGATAATCTCGGCGCGCGCTTCTGCGATCTTCGCACGCCAGGCACGCACAGCCTTCGTGTTATCAGAGCCGGAGGGGCGGGTTTCATCAGCAGGGGCGCTCGTAACCTCCCAGAGACCCTTGCGAACAAGGAGGGCCTCCATGCCGATAACCCATTCAGCGTAGTTGTCATCGGCGAGCTTCGCAATTGTGGGCGGTGCCATCGGGGCGGGAGCAGCGGGGAGCGCGGGGCGGTCGCGGTTACGGGGTCGTCGGGGTGCACGGGGTCGTCGTCGGGTCGGTCGTCGTCGGGTCGGTCGTCGTCACGGGTCGTCGGTTCGCGGGATCGTCGAGTGGCTTCGGCCCCACTAGGCAGTGCCTCGAATTATCCTTCGGGCAGAGGAGACGCGTTTATGTAGAAGTTCGAGGGCAAGCGGGCACAAATGGGATTCGCGTTTGGCCGGTGTAAACGCGTGCCGTACATAGTACATACAATAGACCTTATATACACAGTAGAATAGGGGTAGATAAGGGCGCGGGTATCCGTCGGGGGGCGGGACCTGTGGCGCTCGTTCCGCGAGCTCGCCATCTTGACGCCAGGATTCCAACAATCCTCCTTTAGGCTCAACGTCGAGGCTGTTCTCGAGCTAGTCTCTGTTGTCTTCGAGATATCCATGCATTATATCTTGGAGCAGGTGGGCCGCATACCAAAGGTGGAGATTGGCAGCGCTGGCCTAAGCGATGAGGCGCGCGTCCAAGCGCCAGGACCTCGCATAGACCAGATGGCGAGCATCTCCAAGAGATAACATCGGCTATCGTGCTCCTGCTCTTGATGTCACCTGCGTAGCTGATAGCGGCGGTCCCTCATTGTATCTGCTTCTCCTCGCTAACCGCTGGTCCGATTACCTCAAAACAACGTGTGTACAATACTCATGTACGCAGCGAAGAAAATGTTTGGTCCAGATTTTGGCGAAAGTGCGCGCATTTTGATGAAAACACATCTTAAAAAAACTATACCAAAGACTTCAAGCCCCCAAAGCATACAAATGGATTGGTGTATTTCGTTTTGCAGGCAATAGGGTATGGACCATGCTATTAGACAATCTATGGAGGCAACCAAGGACAGCGGACAGCCTAAGCGCGCAAGCCGGAAGAAACGGTTTCCAAAAAAGGCATCTTGATCGTCCACTACCACGATGGCTCTGACACGCCGTTCTTCCGCTCAGAAAGCTCACTCTGCAAGTCAGATGTGAAGAATTAGTGACAGGCG